TCCTATCAATGGTATAGCAGTAAGAATCGCCCAAATTAAGAAGAATGAATGTTGAAGAAACTGAGGAAGTGCAGCGGATGGAACCAGAACTGACTTCATCATGCAACAACACAACACCAGACCCCATCTCTCCTGCCCTGAAAGATTGTTATGACAGATGGAGCCCAAAACCGTGGACTAGATGAACCCAATGGACATTTTAGGGAGATGGTCCATAAATTAAGGGAATGATATCTATGTTGTGTATGTATATATATCTCTCAAAAAATGGGAAGGTGGTTGGTGATTAATTGGAATGTATTGTAAGGGTAGGACCTAAGCATGACGTAAATGGTATAGAATAAGGGGTGGATACTGTCCTGGTTTCGGCTGGGATAGAGTTAATTTTCTTCATAGTAGCTAGCATAGTGCTGTGTTTTGGATTTAGTACCAGAAGAATGTTGATAACACACTGATGTTTTCAGCTGTTGCCAAGTAGTGCTCAGACTACTCAAGGACTTTTTGAGCTTCTCCTGCTCGGCCAGGTGCATAACAAGCTGGGAGGGAGCACAGCTAGCACAGCTAACCCAAACTGACCAAAGAGCTATTCCATACCATATAACGTCATGCTCGGGGGGGGGTTAGTTAGTTCGGTCGGTCGCTCGCGGCTCGGGGACTGCTCGCGGCTCGGGGACTGCTTGCGGCTCGGGACGGGCTGGGCATCGGTCAGCAGGTGGTGAGCAATTGCATTGTGCATCACTTGTTTTATATATATTCTGTATATTCTCATACCATTATTATTATCACTATTGTTATTCTTCTCTCTTATTAAACTGTCTCTATCTCAACCCACGGATCTTACTTTTTTTTCTTTTCTACGATTCTCTCCCCCATCCCACTGAGGGAGGGGGGGGAGTGAGCGAGCGGCTGCGTGGTGCTGAGTTGCCAGCTGGGTTAAACCACGACAAAGACATTATTTGTCTTTAAAAAAGGTCATTTGTCTATACAAAATATACCTAATATACAAAATATACTGGGATTTTACAGCTGTGCAAAAAGAATAAAAGCTGTGACATAGCATTCTTTTATGTTTCCTTTCCAGCTACTTCTACGTGTGATCTCTAGGTTATAGATATGTAAGCAATTACTCCACCATTAAAAGTCTTTGAGATTTGCACCTAAAAGAGAAATAAAACCTAGTGTACACATACAAACACTGACTTTCTTCTGACACACTGTAGTAAATTTCAAGAGTCTCTGATTTTGTTTGGATACGCACATACACGGTGGTATTGCTATATGTGGCAAGCTACATTTTGCTTTCTTGCTCAGTGTTTCAGTTACATGTGCCTTGTTTAATTAGGTATGGCTAATGATTATCCATGCTAGTCTATGCCTTGAATTTAAATTGAGCAACAAGACCGGTCATTTCCTAATGATTCCATTAGCACTATTTTAAATTCAAGAGATAATTTTCATTATGTATGAAAATGCTTGAAGAGGTATTATGATTCAAATCTACTACTATCCTATAAAAAAGCTGAAAAATTATGTATATGTATTAAAGGTGACAGATATAGATGAGATTAACTTAGCTTTTTGCTTGACAGCATTTTCCCACGACATATGTTCAGTGCTATCAGGGCTATTACAGAGAGCACTGACTAATCAGGGAGACAGATTCACAAACAGTCACTGCAACACATGGTGGCCCCTTGGTGTTAAAAAGGACCATCACAGTCATTTGTAAACATGGTCAGATAATGCGAGTATTTGTCATCTTGATTGTTTCAACCACAGTCATCAAACCCAGAGATCAGCAGTTTGGAAACGAAAATATCTTGTAAGCTAGCAGTGTCCACTGCTGCACAGAAGAAGTGAGGGAAAATTCTGACAGCTTTTTAATGGGTCTAATCTTGATTAAGTGTATTAAAAGCATTACCTTTAAGACTAATCAGTAACTGTGGTTTTAATGACAAGCTGATGTTAATTATGGCTGGCTGTTTTAAGCCCTGTTAACACCAAACGTCTTATTTATCAAATGCTGCATCTATGTGAAGAAGTCAAGTAAATCTGATTGCTGGAAGCAGCAGCTGAAGTTCTACGTGACTGATGTAGCCAGTTGTAAGTGCTCTGCTGACCTAATTTTACAGCTGCTCAGAGAAGACATTTGTAAATAAGCTTGTGACTGGATCTACAGCAGTCACATGTAGTGAATACAATACTTTTAATCTCGAGAGATTTCTGTGGTATGTGCTCAAGCTGTTAGAATGAGTCATAACATTATTTAGTAGAGGAGCCAAAAACTTATAGTTGTCAGGGCAGAGACTGATAATTTAGGTTACAGACATCAGTGGTTTTTTATTAATCTCGCAGTCATCTCTTTCCAGAAAGTCAAGCTAGGTGTAGAAAGCTCTATCAGTTTTGCAGAACAAAACTATGAAGTTATTTTGCACTTTTTATAGCAATAGATTCCATGAAAATTGTCCACCATCCTTTTCTCTGCCTTAGTTTTCCATTAACTTTCTTTAAAAGGTTCCATAACAGGTCAGTTTTTTGCTCACCTCCCAAACATAAGTTGCCTGGGTAGTTATTTTTCTAGTTTCAGATGCCCTGATAGGTGTGGTACAGATGGAAAACTAAAAATATCATGAGCCATTTAGGCAAATATCTTTGCCAATGAACATTTTTTTCTAGTGCCAGTTTACTGGTGTATCACACATATCGGGTTTAAAAGTCTTAAAGCAGTAGGATCCAGGCTGTCTCTTGTCCAGAGACATATGTCTAGTCTTGCCTGTACTGGAGTTAGCTGTAATTTCCTAATGATCTCAGTGGAGGTATACTATGTCCCAGCTCAGCCCGAGAGATCTTTTTGTCATAGTATTTTCTTGAAGTTCATCTCAAATTTCATCCCTAGTTTAGCCTGGTAATAGGTTTTTTTCATTCCTGTCAGTGTTTAAGAGGCATTTGGACCATGCCCTTAATAAGATGTTTTAACTTGGTCAGCCCTGAACTGGTCAGACAGCTGGACTAAATGATCTTTGTAGGTCCCTTCCAACTGAAATAGTTCTATCCTATCCTATCCCATCCAGTTCTTCACACTCTTTTTATTATGTTTTATCATTGTCCTGATACTTTCAATTAACTAACAAGCAGTGATTCTATCAACACATATACCCTAGACTGCAACATAGAAAAGCTTTGCTTTGCTTTGTGATAAAATTTACATGTGCGTATTTTAAAACATGGTTTATATTTGTAGTATCTGATGGTCAATGATCTTTCATAAGCCCAGATCTAGAGGGTTTTTTAAAAATTATTTTCATGGTACATAAAAAGGAATCACACAAATTTTTCTAAAGAAAGATTTATTTATTTATTTTCTAAAGAAAGAAAGCACAGAATAATACTTCAGACCGGTTTTATTATTAATTTAATCTAAGGAAGAAGTTTCCTTATGGCCAGTCCCAGCCTTTCATGTCCCTCACCCTCCTGCTGCACTGTGCTGAGAAGCGCCTGGCTCCAGCTCCCTGTCAGCCTCTCATAGGCATGGGAGGCTGCTGTTAAGTGCCCCCAGAGCTGCCCCTGTTCAGGCTGAACCAGCCCTGGTCCTCCAGCCTCTCCTCACAGGGTGGGTGCTTCAGCCCTGACGACCTCATTGGCCCTCTTCTGAGCTCACTCTGCTTTATTGCTATTTTTTCTGTACTGAGGAGTCCAAAACTGGACACAGTGTCTAGGTGATTGTATTGAACATTTTAAAACAAGTCCCAGAACTTTGTTAGCTACAAGATAATACTAGATAATAAAGAAGGATCTACCCTGTCATACTCACTAATGGACAGGTGCTTTGAATGTAACCTGTGTTAGTCAGTGATAACTTATTCTCTGTATTCTTTGGTCAAAATGGGGTCTGGGTCAAAATGGAGAATTTTTGTTGTAGCAATGCAATTCAATGCTCGAGTCCATGTGAGAACCTTGACAACCAAAGGTAAGTTGGAAAATTGCTCAGAAGGAGAGATTGCATATACTTCTCCAGACTTCCAAAAACAGAAAGAAATTCTAATATGAGCTTATTTGCCTATGGACATGACATTTCTGCATAATTCTAATGGGAGGTGTGATTGAGCAGTGAAAGGACGATGACTTCCACCCAAAAAATCTAACTTGTACTGCTCAGCTGAATAGTTCTACTGGTCTAGGGAAAAATGAAATGAACTCTAATGTATGTTCTGACCTTAAACTTGCTTTTTTAAACTCTTTTTACCCATGAAAGGCAAGTGCATATTTGAGATACCAGGCATGCTTGGTATATGCCCTCAGGTGATGGCACTGGGAACTGCAAGTATTCTATTTGTAATGTATGAGATTTGCATTTCTTAAATCTTTAAAATATTATAGAAATCTTTCTGTACACTTCAAACAAATCTTTGTGGAGTGATTAAAAACACCACAAAAGTTCAAAAATATCCTGTGCTTTCCCAGCTGTAGCTGATCTCTCTATGTTTTAATGCAAGTTTCTGTATGTAAGCATTTAATAAGAAAGTACATTTAATATCATTACTTCTTCTCATCCTGACCTTGCCAGACAGGTCTTATTCATTCTTTCAACTTGAAGCACTTGTGTGCATGTGTGTGCAGACAAAGTATAACAGCTGATTTTACAACTGAACATACTTTCTATTTTTTTAAATATGCAGATCCTACCAGTCACATAGAACACGGTGTACCAAAAGTACTTATGGATGTAGTTTCAAAGGTGAAATTGACTCTGCTGGATGCACTGAGAAAGGAATGTTTAAGGCACAAAAAATTGGGAAAGATATTTGGTTGAGCAGCAGGGACCCTTTCTCCTGAATAGAAAGGGCGTTTGCACTTTCTTTCACTTACAGATAAAATTCCATTAATGCCTGAGATGTGGGGTTTTTTCCTAATTCTGATTTTTGAACCTGTTATATAGGTCTCTGCTCTCCAATACAGTTGTGTTATTTTAGGATGACACTTTCTTCTCTGAACTGAGTCAGATTCACACTGGTAAAATGTTTTCTCTTCCATATGTTTGTTTTCTTAGCCCCTGTTCCAAGTTACAGTACTCTGGTCTGCTTCATTATATTGTTACTTTCTTGACATTTATATATAGAAAAGCAGCTTGATGGTGAAAATTGTAAAGATTTTAGAAAAAAAATTTTTATTTTGTGGAAGAATGCATGTGCCCATGTAAGAGTTTATTCATGCCTAAGGTCAGGAAAGTGAAAAATTGTAACCAAAATGTGGCCATCAGCCATATTGTGCTTTAAAAGCAATGAGAGTGACTGAGATTTTGTACATATACGATACTGTAAAATTAATTTTATGTTTAAAAGGAGATAGTTCCTATG